TGGTGACTCGCAGAGGCCGTTCCAAGACCCCAGCCACGCGTAATCATGATGGCCCGACCCGCGCAGACAGGCCGACAGAGACGGGTCTGCGACGAACGGTGGAAGCGATTTTAAAAAAACATTTTACGTGTAAAAAAAAAATAAAAAAAATTTTAATTGCTTCAGCAATTTTTTTAAACTTTTTTGTATAAAAACAAAATATTTGTTTATTTAAAAATCGCTTCCACCGTCCGTCCCAGACTGTCCAGTCCACCTGACTGCGGGGTGGGATCGGGATTTAGCCTTCATGATTACGCGCGGCCGTGGTCTCGCAACGGCCATCTGCGAGTCCCCATCTCCAGTTTCGCAGTGACCTGCGGAGCTCTGAGCACACAAGGCTGGTATCCGGAACCCGAGCCTCCGAGTCGGCACATCGAAGGATCTTCCGCGGTGACCAGCGGAACTCGGAGCCGGGGAGATGACGCCCTGCCCGGCCTGGCGCTCCGAGGCTCCGGGGGAAGGACCGGGTTACTCCAGCAGAGCTCCATCCAGCTTGCTCTGAATTATGTCGTCGGCCACCAAGCACAAAAAATGCCAGCACGTCAGCATTAGACCAAGATGTTGTCATTATTGTTTTTAAAATCTTTAAAATAAATCCAGCCGCTGCTCCAGTCCGAGAAATTGCAAATGGCGGATCATTGTTTTGAAAAGTTTCTGAAGGATCCAGTGACTCCGCCCCCGACCAATCAGTGACCGACAGTGTTCTGACGTCACGTTTTAGTGCCTCTTCGTTCAGGTTAGAACCACAGAGCCAAGGGTACTGAAAATAGTAACAGTTGCTAAGTACCGGTACTAATGAGCCCCTTATCCACAGGTCCGGTTCCTGTAGGACCCTATTGGGGCTTATTTAGGCTGGTTCCGGTGGGACCGGTTTATTTCTGTCTCCACAGTGCCCATAGTTCCCTTTTAGTGGGCGTATAGTTAACCTTTAGTGGGAGGATCATTAATATCAACGCGCCTTACCAGATGGTGGTGCTAGTGTTACATTAAGCTCTTTACTAACCACCACTAACATGTATTATAAGAAGAGGAGCTGGAAAAA